CAGCATACAGAAGAAGCTGGGAAACAGTAGGTCACTGCAAAGTGCAATGTGTGTTAGCATCTACCGCGCCCCCTGTGTGTCCCTGTGCGTCCCGGAGGGAGGAACAAACAGACAACCTTGTTTGCTCCTGGCCCGTCAGGTGCAGAGGACACAGGAGGGGCAGGGGAGGGGAGGAGCAGGTGTGTGCTGGAGCTGAGGCAGCCGGGCAGAGGGGGAGTGTGGGCCTTCCCCCAAGGCAGCCCAGGGCCCTCTTACCCTACTTCACTGGAGGCCTGTGTGTGGGCCCTCCATCTCGGCTCCAAAGACCTGCATATGCCCCAGTTAACATATTTTTTTTTCTGGGTGAAAAAACAAAAAACAGTCCTTGGGAAGGTGAAAGAGAAAGAACGAGATGGAGAGAGACACTGTAAAAAAGTGAAAAGGGAAAAAAGGGACCGGACCGGGATTCACAAGGGTGCTGGGAGGAAGGGGCAGTGGTTTGTTCTCCCTGGAATACCCAGTTCCTATGACCTGGGGTGGCTTTCCCTATCCGCACCCAGGAAGTTGTAGAGTGCCTTATCTACCCGCATGGCCTTCCACAGTCGGCATCAGGTTCCACAGGCACCTGGGTCTGTTTCTGAGGTCTGCATTCTGTTCCACTGGATCTACCTCCATTTTTTGTTTGTTTGTTGATCATCTTTTGACTTTGATTCTTCCCATTCATTTATTCAGGACTTATTTTATGCCCTTTAATCACGGAAGAACACTACAATAATGGATGTACATATCTTATTTCTTTTTTTAATTGGAACTTCTTCTGAAGTCTTATGTTTAAATATGAGTCTTGCTGCGTGTCTTTGCTCTGGGGTAATTTGGTAAAAGGTATACTTTTTTTTTTAATGTTGACTTTTATAATTTTTTTCTGAGTCTACTAAGATCATTATACTTTTCTTCAATCTGTTTATATGCAGTACTACTTTGATGACTACTTTTTACGCTAAAAGATAAGTTTTCATTTTATAAGTGATTGTAGGACTTTATCAAATGTTTCCTTCTGCATCTATTAAAAAGTATTACATTTTTCTTTTATCTGTTGATATGGTGTACTCCTTCAGAGATTTTATAATGTTGAACATTTCTTACATTCTCAGGACAAACCCTATTTGATCATGATTAATTATTATTTTTATATGAACTGCCACATTTGATTTACTAATATTTTATTTAACATATTATCTCCTTAGCATCATACAGATAATTAACTTATGGTCGTCTCATAAACTATTCTTTTCTGGTGTGGAGATCAAGGTTACACTAGGCTCAAAAATGATTAGGGTGCCTGACCAGTTTTCTCAGTGGTTAGAGCATCAGCCTGCGGACTGTAAGGTCCCAGGTTCGATTCCGGTCAAGGGCATATACCTTGGTTGTGGGCACAACCCCAGTAGGAGGTGTGCAGGAGGCAGCTGATTGATGTTTCTCTCTCATCAATGTTTCTAACTCTCTATCCCTCTCCCTTCCTCTCTGTAAAAAATCAATAAAATATATTTTTAAAATATATTAGAGTATCCCTGGTTGGTGTGGTTCAATCGGTTGGGGGTCATCCTACTACTGAGGGGCTGGTTCCATTCCCAGTTGGGGCACATGCCCAGATGTGGGCTTGACCCTAGTGAGGGGCATGCATAAAGCAGCTGATGTTTCACTCTCACATTAATTTTTCTCTCCCTCTCTCTTTCCCTAAAAATTAAAAATATGATCAGGGTAGCTTTCCCTCTTTCAACTCTGAAACAGTATAAAACTAGGAATACTTATTCCATAAAGCCATTAGGACCGGGTATATTTTTGGAGAAAGGGAAAAGTGGTTAATAAAATTTTGATTTCCAATTAACAATCAATGGCATATTATTTTCTAAAGTCCATTTTGACAATTACCCCTTTCTAAAAAATATTTATTTCATATAAGTTTGCAAATGTATTAACAATGTTATTCATAATAATCCTTTACAATAGAATAATCTCTGTTTTATTTCTAGGTCTGCCATATCATTCCTAATAATGTCTATTATGCCTTTTCTCTTTTTACTCCTGATAAATCTTGATAGTGGTTTGTTTCTTCTAGTATTGCCTCCAAAGAACCATTTTTTATTTTATAGTATTGATCTTCTCAACTGTGTCATCTGTTTTCATTAACTGTATCAATTTTTCTACTTCACTATTTTATGTTCTTATCCATATTTTTCTTTTCTCCTATTTTAACTTTTCCTTATTTACTTTTAACCCCTTACTTAAATTGAACACAATTCCTTTAATGCCAGTCTTTATTTTATTGTTACTTTTGTTACAGAAAAATTTTAGTAGCAACAAAATCAGAAAGAATACTATGTACTCAACAGACAACATCAACAATTTTCAACTGATGGTCAATCTCATGTTGGGCAAGCATCAATCCGAGATTACTTTAAAGCAAATTCTGACATTATATATTTTCATGTATAAATAGCTCAGTAGTTTTTCTAAACTATTAAGATTCATTACACTTAAAAATACTATTATAATACCTAAAAAATCCACCAATAATCTTTCATGTCATCCAATATCCATACTCAAATTTCCTCCATTACCCCATAAATACTTACATAATTTCTTTGGCTCCTCATAAGGTCCAATCATTGCAATTGGTTAATATGTCTCTTATGATTCTTTTAACCAATAGGTCTCTCTTCATCTTTTTTCCCTAAAAATTTATTTGTTGATGAAGATGGATAGTATCTCCTATAGAGCAGTGGTTCTCAACCTTCTGGCCCTTTAAATACAGTTCCTCATGTTGTGACCCAACCATAGAATTATTTTCGTTGCTACTTCATAACTGTAATGTTGCTACTGTTATGAATCGTAATGTAAATATCTGATATGCAGGATGATCTTAGGCAACCCCTGTGAAAGGGTCGTTCGACTGCCAAAGGGGTCGCGACCCACAGGTTGAGAACCACTGGTCTAGCTCATCTACCATTGCAAATAGACCCTTTCCTCCCCATAATAGCTACCACTTAACTAAAAACACAATCTTATTTAATTCTTATAACAATTTCGCCAGGTAAGTATTATTTTCTCACCTAAGAGATCATTCCCATTTTATAAGAAATTGGGGCTTAGCCCTAGCCAGTTGCTCAGTGGTTAGAGCATCTTCCTACGGACCAAGGGCCTCAGGTTTGATTCCCAGTCAAGGGCACGTACCTCAGTTGTGGGTTTGATACCTGGCCCGGGTCAGGGCACAAAGGAGAAGCAACCAATTGTTGTCTCTCTCTCTCCTTCTCTCTCTCTCTCTCTCTCTCTCTCTCTCTCTCTCTCTCTCTCTCCTTCTCTTCCCTGCCTTCCACCCTCTCTAAAAATCAATGGGAAAATATCCTCGGGTGAGAATTTTTAAAAAAGAAAATAAATTGAGTCTTAGCGTGAATAAGGCACTGAAATGTTCAATGACAAAGCAGGGATGTGAAGCCAGGTTTGTCCAACACCCAAATCCACATTTTCTGTTACTGTGCTCCACTGTCCCCCAACAGCATGAACTGTGGGTCCTCCTTCCCCTCTTCATGAAGCATGCTGTTGGCATCCTGGCATTGATGTCTGGCTGGGTCTTGGGGGTTTGCATCCCCAGGGCCCTCCTGGTTGATGTCCCCTCATCTCTGACCCAGCAGCCTCTAGGCGGACCACAGTAGGCCCAGACCTTGGACCAGTCCATTCGCCCATCATTTCACCCTCAGGTTCCAGGCTGCCTGCTGGGGAAGCAGGGGTTCGGGGGAGGGGGTCCTAAGAAGGCAGGGCCAGTATTTGTTGAAGCCTGAAGGGGGCGGGGCAGGCAGCTGCCCACCAGCAAGGTGCCTCTGGCCCCTCCTTGGCAGAGCAGATGGGAATGTTTGTGTCCCAGTTGACAATGACAAGGAAGTGCCCTGCACCTGATAGAGTCGTTTCAGTATCAGGGACTGACTGATTCGGGGAAGCAGAAAGCCATCCTTAGCCGGGCAGCCAGGAACCCATCCCTCCCAGCCCCACAGTCACAGCAGAGGGCCCCCCATGCACAGGCTAATTTTGAATGCTTTACCTGCAGCACTTACGTTATCTGCACAGCAACCCCATGAAGTAGCTACTATCGTCACCATTTTACAGGTGAGGAAAGACAAACAGTAACTTGTAACTTAACCAAGAACAACAGCTAGCAAGTACTGGTTACCCATGAGGAAAACAGGGATAGAATGCCTGCCCGCCAACTCCATAACACAGGAGTTTTGTAGGCCGTCAACCCCCATACATCGACAATAGGTTAGTATTTTTAAATCTGAAACCGTTACAGTTCTTCCCTCCCCCTTTCTGGACAGAGGACAGATTTCTCCAGTGGCGCCTAGGTAATGTGGGCACAGAAAGTTCCTGGAAGAAGTTGGTAAACAACGGTGTCGGCAGACAGGGAAAGTAAGCGGCTGGAGGGACAGAGCGGACAATTTACTTTTCACTGTGCTTATAAGCAAGATATCCACATGTAATTGCTTAAACATGAAAGGGCTGCGCAGTATCAGGTGAATCTGGCTGGAGCCTCTGCTTCTAAGATAAGCAGAGGCCTGGGGGCGCCTCGTGGCGGGGTGGCTCGCCCACGATCACCAGCGAGCGACAGGGCTCCTCCCCAGCACCGCACCGGGTGGGCACCTTTAAATGCGGAGGAACCCAGGGAGTGTGGTCCTTGGCGCCGCGCGCCCCTTGGCTCGCCCCGAACTGGGGAACTGGGCGTCCTAAGCGCATAGTGTATGGCGGGTCCGGGCTCCGCAGTTCGCGGGCGGCCCCGCCTGGGCCGCAGGGAAAAAGGCGGCCCTACCCCGCCCCGCCCATCCTACCCCGCCCATCCCCGCCCCGCCCGCCAAATTGAAGAGCCCTCGCCCAAGACCGGGGCGCTCCGACGCCAGCAAGTTTTCTCCCCTTTGCAGGGTGCTCGCCCTCGCCTCTCGCGCAGCCCCCTGCACCGTCCCGGCTAGGGCCGCGCCATGCCCAGCCCGGCGAGTGACCAGGCCCAGTGCCCGCGCGCAGGCTGCTCTCCCGCCCCCGGGCCCCGCGCCGACCCCGGCAGGTCCCGCGCTCCCCGACACCTCGCGTCCTCCTTCTCCGTCGAGGCCATCCTGGCGAGGCCAGCGCCCCGCGCGCCCGCCGCCTCCCTGCTGTCCGCCCGCGCCCCTGCCTCCTCGGGCATCTGGAAGGCTCCCTCCCGGTCTCCCGCCGCGGGTCTGCCCGGCGCGTACCCCGCTCCCTGGCTGCCCGCCTACCCGAGCCTGGGGCTCTACCAGCCGTCCCCCCAGCCCCCTGCGCTGGGGCTGCGCGCGGCTCACCTCGGCGGTCTCCAGGGCCTCGGCGTCACAGGTATGAGGTGCCCCGGGAAGCAGGCGGGGTAGGTGGAGAGTGAGGCCCCGACAGTGACTTGCACAGGTTAGAGGATTAGTCCATGAGTTTGGGAACCGCACACGATCGGAGTGGAAAGGGCCCTATGACCCTTGACCTTGCAGTTGAAACCGAGGCCCCGGAGGGCTGGCTGAGAGCAGCCCCTGGCGCCAGGCTTCCCCCGCAGGCTGCTGAGGTGGGAGAAGCTGAGTGTGAGGGCGGGTGCGGAGCGAGAGGTGCCGGCGGGCCCAAGCGGGGCTCGGAAGGCTACCACGGCCAGCGCTGGGACTGCAGGGGGCTCGGCGTCCTCCACGGGGGATTTGCTCCCTCCCACACCCCCTTTGGACCATGCTTGGTGGCGCAGACTATTCCCCAAAGCAGCCTTTATGGTGACTCCATGGCCCCGTCTTAGCCGGGAGGAGCAGATGCTACAGGTGGTGCAGGTCAGCGGGGAGCTGCTGGGAGCTGGCCATCCCCAGGCCCCAGTGCCACCTCCACTGCTCACGCCTCTGCGAGCTCATCTCCACCCTGAACCTCTCTGAGCCTGCTTTCTTAGAGTGCTTTCAGGGCTCTGGAGGGCTATGCCTCCCACCCATGTTGGAGAGAAACCCTGGGTTCCCGACCCCATCCAAATTCATGCCACTGCAGACGGGAGCCAGCCCCATCGCACCCCGCCACGGTTTCTAACCTCCTCACCCATCTGAGGTCTGAATTGCACGTAACTACTTTACATTAAAGTTGTCCCCTTTCCAAGTTCGTTTTTGCATAGCTATTACATTCACACAGTTCAAATGTCAAAATGTTTACTAATACAGTATCTGATTTCAGGAAGAAAAAAAAGTTTACTAAGAGATGGAGAAATTCCCTCTACCACTAGGTGGCTGACCTTCAAAGACCTAGTTACCCGCATCCCACAAGCAATCCATGACGCCTTTCTTGATTCTTTCAGAAGTACTTTATGCATATTTAATACCTGAATACACACACACAAATGTTTTCCCCCATACTAGACACACTGCTCTGTGCTTTACTTTTTCATATCAATCCACACAGAGTTTCTTTACACCTCGGAGTGGTCCATTGTAAGGGTGCACCATACTTTATTAAATCAGACCCTATTAATGTGTCTCACCTCTTGCTATGTTGCTTACACTTACGGTAAGTCTGGTTTGCCCGGTGGTTGGTGTCCTGGGCAGCCATGGTCCTGGCCTCACTCCCTTCACTGGAGCAGTTTGCAGCCCTAGGAGCCTCCCCAAGACTAATGGAAGCTGAGGGGGTCTTAGCACTCACTTCCGTTCCTCTGTCTGGAACACTCCCCTCCCAGACAGCCAAATGGTCCACTTTCTCGTTCCTTTCGCGTTATAATTCAGGTACCTGCCCCTGGTGGACGAATTTTCATCTCCATTGTCTACATCTCGGCGAGCTGAATAGCACCTGTGTGTGCACTGGGAAAAGTCACCCCTTCCTTCAGGCAGACACAGCACCTTGTCAGGGGGCAACTATTGGCCTGTGAAGAGCGAGCAGAATTTCAGACTCCACTTACCCTCCCAGCTGGGTACCCCTGTGCAGGGCACAAACTGCATATAGTGGCCCTATTCAAATATCACCTCAGTTTCCTTTCTAAAAATGCAAATTATCCTCCCCCCAACATACAGACACACACACTCACCGTCCTCTCCTGCTATATTCTCACTAGTATTAATCACTGTCTGACATACTCAATATCTTCTTTACCTTTTCTATTGTTATACGGAGATTTTTCTATTTTGTCCTGGAACCATGCCTGACACACAGACATTCAAAAAGTATTTGTTTGATGAACAAAAAGGGGGAACCCTTAAGAGTCCCTTCTCTGCTCATCCTGTGGGGTCCCTGAGAGAGCCAAGGAAAGGAGTGGAGGGCAAGGAGAGATGAAGGTTCAACAACTTCTCTTAGGGTCAGAAGTTAAGCCACTCAGCTGGAGAATCGTGGAGGCAGGAGTCTCACAACATTGTCCCTTCTGTCTCACTTGTTTTGTTATTTCTGTGCAGTCTCTTCCCACTATGCCCCTTGCTGTGTTACCCAGCCAAGGGCAAGGCCGGGCCATGGAGCGGTGGGCTTGTGGGTGCTGGGTGAGTAGGTGGGTGCTGGTTAACCTCCCCTCCTACTCTTTAGGTTTGGAGCTGATTCACTGCCCAGGCCTCTGGAGTCCCCCAGGCTGGGCCCCAAGTGAGGACCTTCAGGACACGGAGAGACCCCAAAAGAGGATTCGAACTATGTTTAACTTGGAGCAGCTGGAAGAGTTGGAGAAGGTGTTTGCAAAACAGCACAATCTCGTAGGAAAGAACAGAGCCCAGCTGGCAGCCCGGCTCCACCTTACAGAGAACCAGGTAGGAACAGAGCCTCCTGGGGCCCAGGCTGCACCTGGGGACAGACACTGCTCTCTGGGAGACCCTGGTGGTTGGGATGAAGAAACAGGCTTCCTTCTTCTGTGCCAGGCCGTTGGGGGAGGCAGGCCTAATTAACACATTACGTACCGCATGGAAATCTCTAAGACATACGCCAGGGACCGCACGTTTGGGGGCAAACTGCACATTATTTAAATCATCATAATGCACTTTAGGCGTTGTTTTTCAATAATTATAACATTTTTATTTACAAAAACAATTAAACAATTAAAGTCCCTAGTACTTTTTTAACGTATGGTACTGCGTAAAACATTTTCCTCTATGAAGAGGGACCAAACAAAATTTACATAAGCATCTAGATTCGCTCCTTTTTCCATGGGCGTGAGAAACGCGAACACTCGTGAGCGGTCCTTAACAGATGGCGCGCAAAACACGAGCAAACTCCTGAGCGGCACGAAATGTGTTCATTGGCATACTCTCTGCATGAATGAGAAAAATAGCCCCGTTTGAAATTACATTACGGAAGCATCACATAATATCCTATGTAATAAAAGGCTGATATGCAAATTGTCCCTACAGGCGGGAGTTCAACTGACCAGAAGTTAGACATGTATTGACCACCGGGGTGGGGCGCAGAACATGGCGGGTGTCGGTGATATGGTGCTGGCAGTGGGTGGTAGTGGAGGCGCTGCCGGCCCAATGGGCCCTGATGAGAGCAGGACCGTGGTGGGATGGTGGAGCAGGTGAGTGGGCAGCACCAGGCCAAGGTGGGTGTGAAGGAAGGCCGTGGCTGGCAGCCAGCAGCGGCTAGGGACCCTACCCATGCACGAATTTTGTGCACTGTGCCTCTAGTTTATAAATATTAACCTAGAACTTTACATTTTTGTGCTAAATAAGGAGCTGGCAGTGAAATTAAGTAGGTACTCAAATAACTGAATATTAAAAATAATAAACATTCCCTTAACACCCATACTCCCTTCCAGCTACTGCACCATTTCTCTGCTCTTTTCACAAACTTCTCAAGAACTAGCTATGTCCCCATGTCCTCACTTCCCATCTACTCCTTAACTCTTTCCAATGCGAACTCTTTCCCGTCCATTCCTATGAAACTTCTCATCCGGGTCTCTAATGACCTCTGTGTTGCCAAAGTCAACAGATGTGGTCCTTTCTTTTCTTCCGCCGTTCAGTACAGCTGGCTGCTCCTTTTCTCATTGAAACACACTCTTCTCCTGGTTTCCAGACACACACTCTCTTGGTTTTCCTCTCAGCTCTCTGCCCACTTCTCTGTTGCCTTTGTAGGCTATTCTTCTCTTTGTGACTTCAAATTTTTCTCCCTAGCTGATCTCATTTATTCTCATGGTTTGAAATACCATCTATAAGCCAAGGACTCCCTTTTCTGACTTGTACATCTAACTCCCTTCTTGAGGTCTCCACTTGGATGTCTTACGGATAGGCATTTCAAATTTAACACGTCTAAAACCTCAATTCTTGACGTTTTTCCCCTCCCCAAATCTGTCCCTCTCCCCACATGTGACCCCACCATCCCTCCAGCTGCTCACAATACCTAGTCATTCTAGATTTCCCCTTCTCTCCCGCTACCAACCCGTCAGCAAGCCTTGTCACCTCTACTCCAAAATACTGCGGGAATCGCTTCATCTCTCTCCATTGCCCCAGTCCATATCAGCCCCAGTCCTATTAGCCCCAGTCCTATCAGCCCCAGTCCTATCAGCCCCAGCTCTTGCTGGATCACCTGCAAGAACCTCCCTGTCACCCCCCTGCATCTCCTTTCATCCATTCTGCACACAGCAGCCAGATGTGCCATGTAAATAAGACTCAACAAGTAAATAGGACTATGTCACATTCCACTTAAAAGCCTTCAAGTTGACATTCTTTGCCCCTGACCTTCACAGTCCTGGGTGATCTGGTCCTCACCGGCCTCTTCCATTTTCTCTTCCTTTACTTTCTCTTCTCACTTTTGGTTGTGCCAGGGATGCTCTCCTCCTTCCTGGTCCTCAAATACTCCAAGTTTGGTTCTACCTTCCTACAGTTCATACCCTGCCCTGGCCTGCTTTTCTCGGTCCCCACCAGGCTGGCCTCTTATCCACTGAGTCTCAGAAAGACTCAAACGCCTGTTTTTACCCCCACTTGCATTTATCTATGTGCTTGTTTTCATGCTTGTTATTAGTTTCTCTCTCTCCTAGACTGTGGGCTTCATGGGGGCAGGGACCATGCCTCTGTTGCTCACCACTGTATCACCGTCACCTGGAGTAGTGCCTAGTACATAATAGAAGCTCAAAAAATACTTGTTGGATGAACGATGAATGAATGGCAACTGGAATTAAGGAAAAGATGTGCTGGTGGCAATGCTTCCCTTAAATGGAAGAGCCAATTTTGAGTGGAGTGGGTACTGTAGGAATGGGGGAAGCAATGAGAATGGCTAGTCACACTCTGATCTTTGCCCACGGCCTCCAATTATAGGTGAGGGTCTGGTTCCAGAACCGCAGGGTCAAGTATCAGAAGCAGCAAAGGCTGAAACCACCAGCTGTGTCTGCCATGGCTGCCTCCCCAGACGAGCCCTCCAGCAGCTCTGACACCATCATCCAGAGAGAAGACACGGAGTCAGGAGGGGACAGCTGAGGATTGGGATGAAGGCTCAACCCAGGCTGCCTGGGCTAGCTCTTCCTGGGGACACCCACTGGACCGACCTGCTCTACATATTAACAAAGAGTCTCATCGGGGTCAACGGGCACCAGAGAAATCTGAACCGTTGAGAACATTTCAATATTGACTCCTGGGAGCTGCAATAATGTAATGGTCAGCAGCACAGACTTTGACCTTCAGCTATGTCCTTGGCCACGTTACTGAACTTCTGAGCCTTTTTTCTTCACCTGTGTCATGAGTGTGTTGATAGCTTAGAGCTCCCAGGGCTAAGATGATGTCTGTAAAGCACTTACAGTGTGCCAGGCCCAGTGCTAAGTGTGTGGCAACTGTTAAGGCTTATAGACCCCTTCACCTGGGTTGGTGGTGCCTGTAGCAGCCCTGGCTTCCCCAGGGATTAATCTCTTCCTGGCCTGGTTGTGGAGCAGAGAGAGGCTCCTTGAATCAATTCTGGGCATAGAAAACTCTTCCCCGACAGAAATGGTAGAGTTGACAGCAAAAAAAAAAGAGGGAAAGGTAGGCTATTTAGTCCACTTCCCCTCACAAGGTTCCCCAAAGCTTTCTTGTTTTGTCTGAACTGTCATAACTCTCAGAAGGGGCTCAGGCCCAGGTGCCTCCTTGAAGCAGACACGCTACCCTGACCACCATCTTTCTCTCTAGCTTCCCACCTTGACACCCCCACCTCCTCATTTTTATATACAGTAATTTGCCTCTTCCTCTGCCAAGGTGGCATTTTGCCATAAACTCTGCTGTTTTTTCATAAAACAGTTATTATTTACCCCTCTTCACTACCCTGACTCATAGTTCCCTTTCCTTCCCCGGAATCTGCTTGGTTTGTCTCTAAGAAGCCTAACTGACAGCCTACCTCAGAGAAGACAGTCACAGGCATTTCCAGAGTAGATTTCTCTCAGGCTCCACATTCCTGGGTGGGGCGCTGTTGAGGGTATTTCTTTAGAATGTAGAGGTGAGCTGGTGAAGGAGGCCTGCCCTGCCACCTGGTGGTGAAAGAGGGCACGGTCCCTGCTGCTCTAGTTTTCTGAGAGAGGAAAGGCAGGCAGGAGAGTCAGCCTTGGAAAACCACCTGCTTCTCAAAGCAGTGGACCATCCTCTCCTGGACACCAGGCTGTAGGCGTGAGGGAGGCCAGAGTCCAGCTCCAAGAACGCTTCTCTGTACCCATCTTCAGGGCAATCCTCCCTAATGCTGGACCCAAAGGCAACTCCATTAATCAAAGAACCCAGCTGAATCTTTTCTGCCTCTTTCAGGAACAACTGGCTCACTTTTTTTTTTTTTTTTTTTTTTAAATCAACAGTTACCTTTTCAGCAGTAACTGGGCTCTACTCAATCCCCAAATGTCGCCATGAGACCACGGCAGAAGCAGACACAGGTCCCTTTTCAAGCGTACAGAATCAATTGGAAGACAAGGAAACAGGGTATGGTGGTCAGGCCTGACTGTGGGGACCCATGACTTAGAGATCAGTGGTTGCAGCTTCCTGGGGTCCTGAATGAGAAAACAGCCCCTCTCTTGTTGTCAGGACAATGTGCATATGTATACTCACTTGCATATAATTTTAGGGGATCTCAGACATGACGTCCACCATGGATCCTACTCCACCCCGCCCCTTGCCCCGGCTGCAAAGTCCCTAAGCCGCTGAAGAGTCTGAGACAGGAAAAGGTCCAACTTGATCATTGGTAGGACTGTCTGCCCCGCTGCCAGAGGGCCCACGGAAAAGGGAAATATTGTGCCAGACTTTGTGGAGTAAGCTAGTCCTTCCCTTCAGGTTGAGGGTTAGAGAGGATAGGAGTAACTCTGCCCACTGCTGTCCTACCCCTCGACTGGGTCCAAAGACCTGCTTTAGTCAAGACGCGCCAGTGAATGGACAGAGACAACAGACACACAAACATGAACTCAGACACAGATGCACACAACAAAACTATACAGCACACCAGCTCTGATACAGGCCCATCCTGGCCACAAAGACAGACAGATGCAAAACTGCACAAATGTAAAAGCACAAAGGCAGACCCAGCTGGCGTGGCTCAGTGGTTGAGCATCTACCTACGAACCAGGAGGTCAGGGTTCCATTCCGGTCAGGGCACATGCAGGGATTGCAGGCTCGATCCCCAATGTGGGGTGTGCAGGAGGCAGTCTATCAATGATTCCCATCATTGATGTTTCTCTCTCTCTCTTCTTCTCCCTTCCTCTGTGAAATCAATAAAAACATTCGTTTAAAAAGCACAAAGGCAGGCCCAGCTCCACCCAGTCCACACACCAGTGGATCTAAACATAGATCACACGGACCCAAATTCGGATTCGCGCGTGGGTCAACCCCAGCAGCCAAACCGGGGGCGGGGCCAGTGGGGGCGGGGCCTCCCGGGCCCGGGTCAAGGGTCAGGAGGAGGAGGCGCGCCCAAGATGGCGGCCTCCATGTGCGACGTGTTCTCCTTCTGCATGGGCGTGGCGGGCCGGGCCCGGGTCTCCGTGGAAGTTCGCTTCGTGAGCAGCTCCAAGGTGAGGCTGGAGAAGACCCCCACCCCATCCGGCCTTGGGAATAGCCCCGTGGGACCCTGGCGGCTCGCAGCCGGCGGGGAGGGGGTGAGGGCGCTCGGTCTGTCCCCGCGCACAGGCTTCGGGGCGGTCACGCGCTGTGCCGGGGCCTCCGCGCCTCCGTGCGCGCCCCCTTCCGCGGAACCGGGCCGGCTGCGGCAGGCGGGGCCGGGGGGTGGGGGGCGGTCCCGGGGCTCCCGACCCAGGACGCGGATCGGTGCCCCTCGGCCCCTGGCGCCGTGGGCGGGGATGTGTGAGCCGAGGGGACGGGGTTGAAAAAACGGGGGCCCTCGGGGAACTTTCTGGAGGGATTGGGGTGAGGAAGGGCCGGGGAGCGCTTGGACCGGAGCCTGCAGCCCCTGGGAGCATTTGGAGGGGTGGAGCAGGAGAGTGAGGTGATTTTGTCACTTTTGTTCTTGCTTTTTTAAAAGTTCGTCGTAAGAAATGTGAACTTGCATGTAAAGAAAGAAGGGGGGAAAAATCACCGGCAATCCTAGTCTTGTGCAGATATGTGCGGTCACATTTTTAGAAACGGCTTTTTGATGCAGCAGTAAATCTTCCCGTCTCCTAAACCTATTTCTGAGTATTCGTTTTTAAGAGCTAAATAATCATTTTAGTTGAATTCCCGGGAGGGCGGCAGTGTCCACAACCAAACCCGATCTATAGGCCCTTGCGCTCCATCTGATTTTTCCCGGAGGTCAAAGATCGGGCAGCTCATTTCCCAGCACACGTCCTTTTGTTCTCTCCAGCACTGAGGATTTCCTCCCTGATCGTTGCCGTTGCTGATTGATATGTGCAAAATGGTACTGCTTTGTTCTCATTGGCATTTCTTTGTTTACTAGAGGTTGACTCATTTATCCTGTGGAGGGGCTGTGTGTATCCTTAGCCCTTGCCCAACATGTCAGAGGCCCAACCCAATTCCATTGCCCCTTTTCTGCCCAGGGGACAGGGAGCATTCCTCTCCGTGCATGGCACTCCACTCCCTTGCATCTGGGGAGCTGCTCACACCTCCATCTCCCCCCAGGGCCTCTAGTGTTGATTGGCTTGCACTTGGATAGTGTCTCATTCCGGCACTCCTGGCATGCAGAAATTTTCACCTTTACCATCACTTAGCCTCCCATCTCTCGGCCCCCTTCTTTCTTCACTTCTTCCCTCTCACTTCATTACTACGCCAGCCACTCTCCTTGCCTAATTATCCTGTCAAAATCCCAGCTCTGGAAGAATGAGCTGGCTGCCCTCCCCATGACTACACCCGACCTGCTGCTGGAGAAAAGCATACATCTACCCAGACTTAGTGACAAGATAGTAGGCTCTTTGCATCTACAGTCATCAAATGAGATTGGTTTATGATTTTATTTTGTGTAATTTCCCCAGTTACCACATCAGTTATGTTTTGTTTTTTGAGTAAAATGGAGAAGCTTTACATTACTGTATAGTTTAAATAGCATGAGAATTATTCTTTCGTCTGACAGAGCTGGCTCATAAAACCATATAGATTAGGAGCTTCACATGGGATAGTTTTGATCACTTTATTGCTTCTGTGGATATTGGCAAGAATGCTTTCTTAAAAATTTGCCAACTCTTATGCCAGGGACGTAACTAATCACAACAGAAACCTGATCAAATACAGTGATGCCAATCAGAATGCCATACTGGTACACATCAGCCAGAAAACAGCACTGCTTTTTAGTCTGTCTAGGCTTCTAGGCTTTCTTACTTTTTTAAAAAATATATTTTTATTGATTTCAGAGAGGGGGGAGAGAGAGAGATAGAAACATCAATGATGAGAGAGAATCATTGATCGACTCCTCCTGAATGCCCCCTGCTGGGGATTGAGCCTGCAACCCAGGCATGTGCCCTTGACTGAAATCGAACCCGGGACCCTTCAGTCCGCAGGCTGATGCTCTATCCACTGAACCAAACCAGGCGAGGCTTTCTTACTTTTGAATTAAGTTTTGGCAATTTATATTTTTTTATAAAATCATCCATTTAATAAAGATTTAAAAAATTTAGTGCAGTCTTAGAGTTTTGTACAACATTTTTTATTTATTTGCCAAATTGGAAATATATTTGCATACTTTGTGCCCTTTCCATTCAGGTTCAGTTCTCTCCAAGCTTCTTGGAAATATGAATTAGAGCTGTTTTCTTGAAACACTTTCATATGTTTGGGGGAATGTGTGGTTTTATAGAGGAACAGTTCTGCTTTTCATTTTGTTTTGATTACTAGATATTGTCTACATTTTGGTCCTCAAGAAAGAGATCAATATTTATCTAATACTGAGATTTGAGATTGTCAGAGATAACATTCACATCTTTGTGTCCCGTAGCAGAAGGCCAAATTTCATTTTGGGAGATTGGGTCCCAGGGGCCACAAGGTACGGGGTGGGGCTTTCAGGAAGACAACCAAAGTGCATCCACGGCTTTGCCCAGTGTTTTTGCTCCAGCGGCCCCACTCTCCTGTGAGAGCTCCCAGAGCTGTTCAGATGGTTGAGCTTTGTGGCTCATGGGTTGCGCAGGGCCTGTTCTGGTCTGCACTTCCTGCTGCTTTGACTTGGGGAGGTGTCCCTGTCTAGCCAGAGTGCCAATGCTAGAAGACAGGGTGCTACCCGTGAGGCCACATGACAGGACATTTAACTGCTGTGCTGATCATTTTTCTCTCTCCCTTTTGTGACAATTCAGTGTTTGCAAGGCACTTCTCTGAGTGAACCGTGAAGTAAATGCCTCGGGGGGCCAGTAACTTCCCTGGGTTCTAAAGCTGTCTCCTGAACCCCTCTGCACTCTGAGAGATGCAATTCAGCGATTGTCTTCTCATCCTTCATCTTTTTCCCGATGTGTATGGTGCTTTAGACTACGTACTACTTCTCAAACTCTGATGTGTACATGAATCACCTGGGCATCTTCTTAAAGTCATTCTGATTCAGCAGGCCTGGGGTGGGGCCAGACATTCTGCATTTCTGAAGGTCTCCTAGCTGATGCCCAGGCTGCCAGTCCATCCCCTCACTTGGAGTAGTAAGGTGCTAGAGCTTATGGGGTGCATGGCCTGTGCTATATCCTGGAAATACCTGTTCAATATTATTAAATACTCATTTTTCATGTGGGAAACATGCAAAGAAGTGAAGCAATTAGCTCAAAAGTTCAAGCAAATAAGCATTAGGATTAGTGCTATGATTAGTCATTCTTTTCAGAGTAACCTCTGAGAAGTTGTTAAGTGCCAGGTACTATGCCAGGTGCTGTGAGTATCCGTCCAACCAGGGAAATAGGGTACATTCTCCCCCAAACTAGGCCTCCCTCTCCCATGGTGTAGGATTTCTGTGCAACCATTAATAGTAGCATCACTGCCCAGATCCTGGAGGAGCGTGTGGGTGACTCAGAGAAGGCTGCCCTGCTGTTACCAGCTCCTGGTACAGGAGGCCCCAGCCTGCTATGAGCTCTGGCCCTCCTTTGGCCATTCTAAAAATTCCCCCATGGGTATTCTGGGATGGCTGACATCCCGGGCCCTCTTCTCTGAACAGGCTGAAAGAAGTGTGACTGAAAGTAGGTCAGAGCGGAGGCAGTAATGGGGTGCTGACCATGCTCCGTGAACCCTCCTGCCTCTGCTAAGAGGTAGCATGTGGGGGTGAGGCCCTCCAGGAGCCTTGGAACTGTCCTCTGCCCCTTCTAATGGCCATCCTGCTCCTTCTCTGCCCTCTCAGGGAAAGGGGCTTTTTGCCACGCAGCTGATCCGGAAGGGGGAGACCATCTTTGTAGAACGGCCCCTGGTGGCTGCACAGTTTCTCTGGAATGCACTTTATCGCTACCGAGGTGAGCACATCCCATGCCTCATGGCTGCTGGCCCAGCTGCCTCTGTGCGTGGAGAGAGCTGCATACTCCCTACTGGTGGGTGTCCCTGGGATGTTAGGAGGAAAGGCTGTCTTCCCTTGGAGAACTGCTCGAGAACACTGTCTGATCTCAGGCTGTTAGGGGCTGTGAGCCTGTAGGAAAGAGGCTCTTCCGAAGTGCTCCCTGGGGGAGGGCTGTCACTCGGGTGGAACTCAGAGTCCACCCTAATAATATAAGGGACTGGATGTCATGCTGAAGGGCTCCGTGCCAAAGTGGAGCCTTCTGCCCAAAGGCCACATGCCCCTTGGTGGAAAAGGCTGCATTAAGGGTCAGAAACCAGCCACATGCTTCCCCCCACTCTTTTCTTAGGCCAGAGATAAACTGTGGAAGGAGGGTCACTTTTTTCCAAAATGTGGGGAAAGCCCAGTCTGGGGGAAGGGATGGGAGCCCCACAGACTAAGTCCCATTGAGAAGCAGGGTGCCTGTGACAGGCAGGGTGGGGACTCCAGAGAGGAAAGACGTTAGTTAATCCTCTACTTTTGAATGCATATGAAATCCATTCCTTCATTTCATTCTTTTTTATTTTTTTAATATATTTTATTGATTTTTTACAGAGAGGAAGGGAGAGGGATAGAGAGTTAGAAACATCAATGAGAGAGAAACATCGATCAGCTGCCTCCTGCACACCTCCCACTGGGGATGTGCCCGCAACCAAGGTACATGCCCTTGACCGGAATCGAACCTGGGACCTTTCAGTCCGCAGGCCGACGCTCTATCCACTGAGCCAAACCGGTTAGGGCATTTCATTCTTTAACATATTCATTTCCTCACTTTCTAAACATTGTGAGCGTCCACTCTGTGCCCGGCACTATTGTAGCCCTGGGATACTGCTGTGAAAATGACAAATGTGGACCCTGCTCTCGAGACACTGTCATGTCTGGCTCTCTTGCTCAGCCTGTGACCACTGCCTGCGGGCACTGGAGAAGGCAGAGGAGAATGCCCGGAGGCTGACGGGGAAACCCGGCCAGGTGCTGCCTCACCCTGAGCTGTGCACTGTGCGCAAGGACCTCCACCAGAACTGTCCCCACTGCCAGGTGAGTGTCCTTGGGGAGGGTACCAGAAAGGGACTGATGGAAGAGACCTTAACTGAAGTCCTCTTTGGGGAGTCAGCAGCGAAGATGGACTGGTCACAGCCCTTGAGAACCACAGTGTAGGATAAGACGTTGAAAGGCTCAGCTACTGTTGCAGTTTCATCCTCTTGTTCCAGTCCCATTGTCTAAATAGGCTGGATGGGAGCTTGTCCTCTTCCTAAGATCCTGGGGGGCTCTCCCCTCTACCTGCTAAGCTCTCTTTGTTTCCATGGTTTTACAAGCCTGGGTTAGTAGGGGACCCCTCATGTGCCCCCAGAGCACTGTATGCTTTCTTGTGTCACAGTACCCTGGGCTGCTGCTCAGGGGCTGTTTGTGGAAGGAATGCAGTTAGAGGAGGTGAGTACCACCTGGGACATCTGTGCTTCACCAGCCTGAGGTGCTGACCTCCACCTTCCAACAGGTGATGTACTGCAGTGCAGAATGTCGGCTGGCAGCTGCTGAGCAATACCATCGGGTCCTGTGCCCAGGCCCCTCCCAGGATGACCCCCTGCATCCTCTCAATAAGCTGCAGGAGGCATGGAGGTAGGTGGCATTCATCTCTTCTTTCCTTTACCCCTCCCTCCCCTGCCTCCCTGCCTGGGCTCAACAGATGCAGCCATTTTTCTTAAGTTACCATCTCCTAGAATTCCCCCACCCCATTCTTACAGAGGTCACATTACCCAGCCTTCTGCCTTTTGTTTGAGCTGCCAGTCCCACCATCCTCAACATTTTACACTTTCCCATTAAGCCTATAGGAATGTAAAGTCCTGTCCAAGCCCTTGCCGATGACTGTCTCTCTCCAGTCTGTAGCAATCAGACTGGACATCCTTGAAATCCGCTACTTGGAGGGAATTCCTGAGCCAAACCTTTTTCTTTCTCCCCAGGAGTGTTCACTACCCCCCTGAGACTGCTAGCATCATGCTGATGGCCCGGATGGTGGCCACAGTGAAGCAGGTGAGCCCACCTGACCCTTGCTGGGAAGCGGAAAAGGCTTCATTCAACCCTCAGCCTCAGTCTCCTGCTGGGATGCAGCGTTCCTCTGGGCTTTCTAAGAGAAGCTGCTTCCTACGGAAACCTTAGGGGTTGATAACCATACATCTGCAGGGGGAGTGGGCACTCATCTGGCCTATAGCCTTTGACCTCTGAGAGGACATTCTTGTGCAGCAGCAATTCATGCATTGGGTTTGTAAGCACCACTTTTTTAGGATTGTGTCTCTTACATAAGTGAGAGAAGCCATGCTAACCCCTCCTATTACTATTGTTGCTCAAGTGTTAAATTGGCTAGATTGGCCCCGGCTGGGGGAGATAGCTGGGGATATACAGGGTCGGAAGGAAGTCCCAGATCAACGGAAGGGTCTACCTGGAAGCTCAGGTGTGATGCAGGGGTGACAGTGGCAGTAAGGATGTGGTGTCTGAGTCCATGTGTGCACATGCATGCACAGGGGTGTGTGAATGTGACCTGAAACATCTGTTCACTGCAGGCTAAGGATAAGGATCGCTGGATCAGGCTCTTCTCCCAGTTCTGTAATAAAACGGCCAATGAGGAGGAAGAAATTGTCCACAAACTCTTGGGGGACAAATTCAAGGTTGGTCTTTTCCCATGACCCCTCCACCCCAATAGCCTAGAATATTCTGTGGCTTCCTGAGGGAGCCCCACATTTGGTCCCTTCCTAGTGAAAAATCTATTCAGAGGACTTAACATTCCTGCCATTAGTTAACTTCATGACCTAATGTGGACCCCAAACTGGGAAGTGGGATAATGATAGAGGAAGAAGGGGTGCCCTGATATGATAGGACAGCAGTGGGTGTATCAGGTATAATGAAAGATGGAGGGTTGGGGGCCACAGGGTCAGGGAGCAGTAAGTACCCACTGCCAATCAAAGAATTACAAAATCTGAGGCCAGTGGATTTCCACGCAGGAGCTGCGTGAAGGTGGAGGCCGATGTGTGAAAAGGCATCTGGGGTGGGTCTTCCTGCATTGAGTTCTGAGGAAAGGGTGGAGGGGGAGAGTCGGGCTGGTCTGGAGGCTAGTTAGGGGTGGCTGGAGGTTGGTGGTGAGAACTGGTGTTCGAAGCCATGCTTCCTTGGCCCTGCTGGCAATGAGGGCTGGAAAATAGGGAGGGATTTGGGGCTTGCCATTCTGATTTGAAGTAGACTAGTGAAGTGCCGTGGCTCTTTGCAAATAAGGACTGTGGCCTTCCTTTGCCCCCAGGGAAAGCTCAGTCTACAGAGCTGGCCCTTTTCCTTCCCTCACAAGGTCGTCTGGGCCCGCCTGGGTGCTGATGGGAAATCCTCAGGGATGCAAGTCTCTCCCTGTTTTTCCTAAACCAGGGCCAACTGGAACTTCTGCGGAGACTCTTCACAGAGGCCCTTTATGAGGAAGCACTCAGCCAGGTGAGTGTGAGGAGGGTGGGACCAGTGTCTTCCCCAGCCACTCCAGCTCTCTAGGGGCAACTGGGTCAGCATTTTCTACTGGGACAGCCGAGCGACAGCTGACGTGGTCTTCGGGAGTTGGGGTGGGACTGACTCACAGAAGACTGCCTGAACATAGAGTTGTATCAGGAAGAAAAACAAGTGGCTGGAACCTGAGCGCTCATCTCTTTTCTCCCCCACAGTGGTTCACTCCAGATGGATTCCGGTCTCTCTTTGCGCTTGTTGGGACCAATGGCCAAGGAATTGGGACCAGGTTAGGAGACACTGTTCCAGATACATTGGACCTGTCCCTTGGGGCTTGGGTGGGAAATGGACTAAGGAAGGTAGCCACAGCTCCCTTCAAGACTAGGTGGGACAGGGTGCAACTCTGTGGCCAGAGTGCTACATTGCACATAGTGATGGGGGGTCAGAAAGACTGAGCTGGTGGAGTCTGCTCCGATTGGGATTCTTGGTCTGTGGGGAAGACGGGGCCCTCACCCTGGAGAAAGGAATGGGTTTAACGTGCCTGGAGGTGGAGAGCCCTGTTAGCTGGGCCTCCTGCTCTCCAACCACCGCTGCCTGGGACCCCCAGCTCCCTGAGCCAGTGGGTCCATGCCTGTGACGCTCTGGAGCTGAAGCCACAGGACCGCGAGCAGCTGGATGCTTTCATTGACCAGCTGTACAAGGACATCGAGGCAGGTGGGTGAAATGGAGACACCACCCCCCATCCCCCACCCCCCACCCCCGTGGTCAAATAGTGGACACAGTTTTCCCCAGGGACATCTGAGTTGATAGGGGACAGAATCCTGTGTGCCTGTGGGAAGCTTCAGATCTGTCTGAGGGACACTCCGATGAGAAATGGGCCTGAGATCTGTGCAAAGGCTCGATGCTGGGGGTGGGGGAGTGCTGGACATATAGAGTGCTATCATTTACAGAAAAGCAAGGCTCATGCCTCAGAGATGTAAGTTCAGGTGAAATGGTTGGGATCAGCTCATTTGTGTGGTAGGGTGGCAGGACGGTGAGGCAGTGCCTTTCCTTATAAACCTAGTTTCCTTTTCCCTATAAAATGGGTAGAATAACACCTGCATATTACTTCTTACAGCAACTGGCGAGTTCCTTAACTGTGAAGGATCAGGCCTTTTTGTGCTTCAGAGCTGCTGTGAGTCCTGACATTGAGGAGCGGTGCCCTCGTGGTCACAGTTCATCTCTTTTGTATCGCTCCTTCTAGGCTGATGGGGTTGAGTCTGGGAGTGGGGTTAGATCTGAGCTTCCCTTGGAGATTCCTCTGGTCCTTTTTGGTCCATCAGTTTTTCATTCATTCATTCATTGGACTGCTGGTGCCTTAATATATGTTTATATATAAAAACTCCCAGTGGGGCAGGCCCTGTGCTCTGCAGGGCACTGAGCTCTGATTTTTCTCAAGGGAAGCATGAGCTCTGCACCACCACTGCCCTGCGAAATTTGGCAGGGACTGTGTGGTGAGCGCCTGGGAGCCCTCAGGAGCCGGGGAGGAGGGAACTCAGGCTAGCCGGCAGTCCCCACCTGCTGGGAAGGGGTAGTGCGCTCAGACTGTTGTCTGTTCTAGCTCCCAGCCTCCCACCCTCTAGTTTCCTCACTGCAAATCCTCTTGCCAGGTTCCAGAGCCACTCTGTCCTCCCAAACTAAGCTCTCAGAGGGCTAGGCTCACCTGTTACCAGATGGCCGGTAGCAGACAGGACTGAGTTAGTGGTCTGGCACGGGCAGCCCTTTCAAAGCCCTGTCCCTCTTTTGTGAGACACTGGGAACACAACTGAGAGTCAAGGTGGCCCGTGAGGAGGGCAGACATGGGGGTGGGAGAGGGAGCGATGTGGGATACACTTGTGCCTCAATGGTCTCAGGAAAGAGCACTGGACAGGGAGTCAGGAAACCTGAGTTCCAGGATCTGCACAGCCCTAGATAGATCCCATCCTTCCAGAAAACAAGGAAGGATGGGACCTAGTGCTCTGCAGAGTTGAGGCTGTTTTTATTAGTCAGCAATCCTCATTACCTGCCTCTCATGACCCAGGCAACCACAGCTGTGTCCCCAATGCAGAGACCTCCTTCCCAGAAAACAACTTCCTTTTGCATGTCACCGCCCTGGAGGATATTAAGCCAGGAGAGGTGAGGGGGCCGGGAGCTGTGGGGAGCATGGGGGGTGGCAGTGGGCCTTGCAAGTTCTCTAGATTTTGGGAGCGGCAGTGGCTAGGGCCTTAAGTTCTGGCTATTGAGTTGAACCCCCCACACCCCAGGGCATGAGTCTTTTTGCCCCTAGATATGCTCTAACCCCACCTCTTAAAAAATTACTCCAGAAAGCCTCAGAGCAGTGTTTGAGAAACAGCCGTGTGCCAGGTTCTTGTCCCCAGCTACCTTGTGACGAAGGACTGCAACTTCTAAGAAAGCAGGAGATGGCTCTGTGGCTGGGACTGTGGGGAGCTAGTGTGGGTTTGGGGTCCTGGTTGTCAGTGCTGCACAGTCTGGTTGAACCTTCCAGGACAAGTTGCATCTCACCAAGATAACCTCTAAACCCGGCCACTGATCTTGCCCTTAATGCCTTTAAGCCTGGCCTGAGGCTCACTGCAATCCCCTCTCTCCTCATGTGTAGATTAGAGCCTTGTAGTGACCTGCTTGCTGAGGACACAGGAATGGATCGGGGCAGCCCACCCCGTCACTGAAGGGCAGCTCAGGCCCTTGGGGATGGAGAAGTTGGAGATAGAGTAGTGATTGGGGAGTCCCTCATCCCATCTAATAGCACAGACTGTCAGACCCCACTTCTCCTCTGCCTTCCAGGAAATCTGTATCAGCTACTTAGACTGCTGCCAGCGGGAGCGCAGCCGCCACAGCCGCCACAAGATCCTCAGGTGCCTGCTGGGGACGAGGTGGGCAGCTGGGCTCAGACCCTCTATCCCAGCAGCTGCCTGACGTTTCACCCTCACCATCCCCCCATCCGCTGCAGGGAGAACTATCTGTTTGTCTGTTCCTGCCCTAAATGCCTGGCAGAAGCTGATGAACCCAACGTGACCTCAGAGGAGGAGGATGAAGAGGAGGAAGAAGGAGAGGCAGAAGATGCAGAGCTGGGGGACGAGATGACCGATGTGTGATGTCACCATGCCTGGAAGGGGCCCTACCCCAGACTCTGCCAGAAAATGGGGCCTTCCCCCAGAGAAGAGGCTTGGAAGGAACTCCCCACTCCCGTTGCCTGCTTCCCCCCGCCCCCCATTCCAGCTGTTTCTGCCAGAGGGTAGGACAGAGGCTGGACCCTAGACCCTCCACTCCCCACCAGACCTCATGCCCTGGACACTGCTGCTGAGTGGCTTGGGTTCTGCGCTGTGGCTGAGCCTTTCAGAATTGGCCTCCTCCTGATGTACTCCATTCCAGAGTGTGAGCGGCTGGAACCAAGGTCAGGGCCTGACAGTATTTCTCCCCCCTTGGCCCCGTGGCTGCACCTTCCCATCCATCTGCGGCCTCACCCGTCTCTACTTGCTATTGAGGGGGTAACAAAGTGGCAGTCTGAGAACAGCCTTACTTTATTGAAGAAGAAAGAAGAGGGGGTGCATTGCCCTCACCTTCCCCACCTCCCATCGTTGTAGCTTATAAGGCAACTGCCTGACTACTAGCACAGCTGGGTGAGGCAGGAAGGAGGAACTGGGCCTCCAGAACACTTTCCCTAAGTCTCTGCCAGGAAACACTGAGCCAGGGGAATTACCTTCCTCTCCTTGGACATCTGGGGGAGTGGAGACTAACTCCTTCCCCAAACTCCAGAATCTCTATTTTGTGCCTTGCCTTTCAGGCCCTGGCACAGTGGCTGGCCCCACAGGGTACAGAAAAGGCTTCTGCTTCCCTCAGAAGGGGCGTGTGGGCGATCATTACCCCTTCCTCATACCACTTCCCACTGAAGACTGGCAGCATGGCTGAGACCTGGGGGTGACAGGCCTGTGCTTCTGAGGATGCTCCGAATGGTTCCCTGGGACCAATTGAATATGGGTCAGTTAGGGGCTCTCCTGGCCTCGATCCATCTTTAGGGTCTCCGCAGAGGAACACTGAAGTCTTCCAGAAACTAGAAGAGCTGGGTTAGACACTCAGAGATTAGCCCTGACTGTAACCTCCAACCCCAAACTAGCAGTACCCCTCACTCTTGTGTTGGAAGCTGTGGGAATTATAACCCATCACCTGCGATGCCTTTCTGCCTATCTTCCCTAAGGGGTCTTCACATCCCCCTGCTAAGGGATCCTAGGAAGACAGGTGCCTGCCCACAGGCCCTTCTCTGGATTATGAGCCAGGTGGAGCCTTTCTGTCTGGCCTATTGGGTTCTTGCTCCTTCACAGCAGCCAGCATCCCCTCCTACCCCCGCCTGCCCACTCTTCTCAATAAAATGTGAGTGGTGACAGGCTCTGAAGGCATGCTTGGTGGAGAATGACTTGACAAACTGCTGGAGCACACAGCAGTCATGTGGGTGGTGAAAAGGCTCGAAAGGTAGATCAGATAATGGCAGGAGGTGGGAGCTCTAGCTCCCCAGTTTAGGCTCATCTCTGGTCTCACCTACACTCCGCTTTGCTGATGTTCTAAATCCCCAGAGCAAGGATCCTCCATGGGCAAGCATGGTTCCCCAGCACTAGGCAGCAAGATGAGCCTTCTCCCCAGGGACTATGGCTCCTAAGATCTTAAGAAGGAGGCTGTGTTGGGATCCAAGATTAGCAATCTGAGTAGAGGTCCTAAAAGACCTTGGACAAGTCATTTATTGTCTCTGGGCCTCATTCTCCTCCCCTCAACACAAGAGCATGGGGCCAGATGGGTGAGTTTGAAGGCCCTCCCACCCATGAGCTCTTATCCTAGGACACAATTGCAACCCTGATGAGAGGCTTTATTGCTAAAAGTCAGTGAGGGTTTATTAAGTCCTCAAACACCAGCTCCTTAAACTACCCCAGTAACTGCTGTGAAGGACACAAGAGACCCTGGGTGGGGGAGGCTGGAGCCAGGTGAGAGGTGACAGGTCACAGATGGCTTTCAGGCCATCTGCCTTTAGCCCCTTTTGTTCCAGATTCTAGCCAATAAGCCCTGAGGCATGTTTCTTGCATCTTCCCATAGCATGAGACACCCTTGGGGGCCCTGGGGAAGGGAGAACAGTGGTGTGACTTCCCTTAGCCTAGCAGAGGCCCAAGCCTTTTTCCTCTACCCGGCTCCACCTATCCCCAAATGCTATCTCCAAGTCCCAAACAGCAGAACTTCTGGATTTCCCCTTCCCAGCCTAGAGCTGGCTGGAAGGTGGGACCAACTCTTCTACCAGAAGGTCCAGGGTGGTTGCAGCAGCTCAAAGGTGGGGATGCTGGTGACATTGACTGGAATGGAAATGATGGCCCATGGGAGCCCATGCTGTTCCAGGGAGCGGCGGATCATGTAGCTGGGAGGGCATGAAGAGAGGTGGGGATGGTCACTTTCTCAGCACCCCATCATGCCCCACTGTCCCCATCACTTGGGAGTTCCATCCAGAGCCCAAGGACTTTTGACCCTCCAACTGGTTCACCCCAAGATGAGGCTTGTGGGAGGGACTGGTGATTGCCCTTGACCTCCAGAGACAAGGAGCCCTCACCCATCTCGGCCGAGTAGGAAGAGGGCAGGGATGTCAGCCGTGCGCTGGGTACTGTCCTGGATCATCTCCACGTAGAAGCTGTCATTGTCAACTGCGTTGTCAGAGATGATCACCGCCCGCCCGCCATGTTCCTGTACCACCCGCGTCTTGGAGAGGAAGGAGCAGCCCCTGGAAAAGGTGATGAGATCAAAGGAAAGGCAGGATCTTAGCTACCCCTCCCCGAGGCCACCACCCTAGGAGGATGAAAGGACCATGGACAGTTTTTCATAAAGGCTCATAAATAAATGGCCAAAAAGCATGGATAACCTTAAAGAGACTTAAAATGATGAGTTATTTAAAAACTATTTCAAAGGACCGCCACCATCATTGACCTTAGGAGCTTTCCTATTCCTGCCCTTCCCTTGCGCCAGTGCCTGTCCACTCCTCACCCCCTCTCCACCAGAGCGATCTGGTCCTGGATGAAGAAACCGTTGCTGAGTTCTCCACAGGCCTCTGAAGGTTCCGCGGGGACAAGGTGAATCTGCTCATACCTTGTGTGCTGAAAGACATTTAGACAGGTCGACATGTGAGGAGACGCACCTGCTTTAGGACCAGGCTGACATCCTATCCATCCGTTCCTCACAAGGTGTGAAGAAAAGGTGTGGAGTGGTTTCTGTGTGCTGGGTACTTCATTCTCACAAAATAGTTGTCCTATCCCTTTCCAGGAGACAGGCAAGGGAGTTGGTACGGAGCCAGAATGATGAAGTAACTTGCCTTAAGTTACATCATTCAGAGGTAGAGCTAGCAGGGCCCTTGGTTTTTCACTGTTTTGTGTTTCCAAGGACAGTTGGTCCCTCCGTGGTGCCCAGGGAAGTAACTGGAAGCCCTTCCTTCCTGCACTGCAGCCCCTGCACTGCTCCCTTCCAAGTCCCAGCACTCAAGTATTGGTTGGAGGGAGGAGAGGGATCACCTCAGCTTAGTGGGGACAAGATGGTGACAGGATCAGAGAGGAGGGATCCTCCCCAAACTTACAAAGATGCCACCAAAATCCTTTGCAGGTGTAGCTGTGAAAATGTATCGAATGTCTCCAGGACTCAGCACTTGGAAGTACAAATAATCATGGATGCGTAAGCCTGAAAAGTAAAAAGTACAGATGAGAAGCCTCCATGGACCTGTGTCTGCAAGTAGGCTGTCTATAGTCAGGGCCTCAGGACCCAGTTTCAGCCAAGTGGGTCCTCCAGGTGGGTGAGATAGATGGTCCCTGCCTTGGGGAGGATAGAGTTGATACAGACAGAGTTAGTAAATGTTAGTACAGACAGATTTATAACTGCTGCTGCTTGCAAAGGTGAGCCAGGAAGACAGCTCTAGTGTGATCTCTGAGGGTTAATCTGTCTTTGCTCTGAAGTGGACCTGAGAGTTTCCAAGTGAAGATGTGTTAGTTTGGGTACAAAACACTATTAAAACTGAAAAGTTGACTCTCTGGTCCCACTGCCATCCTCCTGGGCCACGACTATCATTTCTTGTCCTGACTAGTCTACCTCCTTCTCTTTTTGCTCTCTAAGGTCCATTCCCCAAACAACAGCCAAGGATATTCTTAAAACATCTTAAAGCATATATGGTCATGTCACCACTCCCATGGCTTCAATACCCATCAACAGCTTCCCTTTGCACTTAAAATCTAAACACTTAACAATGGCCTGCAAGGCCCTGCTCTATCTGGTTATTGGCTGCTACTCCAACCTTATTTCCTTCCTCTGTTCAAGCTACACTGGACTCCTTTCAGTTTCTTCACTCTGAGTCTTCTTGCAAGCTTTTCTCTGGGAGGCTTTCTACCCTCACCTCACCCCTACCTCTCTACCTGGCTTACTCCTACTCATCTGTTAGGTCATAGCTTAAAAGTCACTTTCGCAGAGAAATCTGCTCTATGACTGCCCTCCTTTTATGCCCATTCAAAATATACTTTTTCTCCATTGATACTTCCAATATAATTTGTAATTCTAGAGTATTCATAATTTTTTGTTTAATGTCTGTCTCCTCCACTACAGCAAGGACCATACGTTTATAGCCTCATTCCATGCTGTATCCACATTACCTAACACAGTGGCTAGGATATAGTGGGTGCACAATAAGGGTTGTTGAATGAACAACTATTTCCAGCTCCACTGCACTGAGGAAGAGAATTGCCAGAACCAGGTTTTTCTGGGGTGTGGGAACTTCTCTTTAGCACCAAAGTGTAATGTTTCACCTACACTTGAGCCTCTGGTTTCCTTAGCCCACTGAGGAATGCAGAAGGGTGAGAGCTGCGGCCACCGGTCCATCAGTCAATCAACAAACCACCAAACCACTACTGTGCGCCGGGGTGGGACTTACTGTGGCTTTAGTTGTCCTTGTTTACTGCCGAAATCAGCCACCAGGTAGAGCCCCACTGGCTTGGCAATGGGCTATGTATCCTTTTATCTTGGGAGTGAGGACTTGCCATCAGATACAGATACATGCCCAGGAAGCCTCCCTGGATTAGCACTAAACACCCCCTTACTCCTCCTCCCCACACACACACACACGCACATCTTTGCCTGGCCTTTGCATTTGCTCATCTGTGTAAATTACGCGTGGTATACGTATGTGATATATGTTTCTGTGCTTGTGTAGGTGCAAACAGGTTGTCTATGTACATCTGTGCTTGCGTGTGAGCCCGCGTGTAGGGATGTGTGTTACCATATGTGCTCACATACATATCAACAGCATGCAGGATCTCTAGTGGTCCCTCGTTTCTCCTCCTCTTGGTCGCTCCCTCAGCCGCCTGGTCGGCGTTAGTGGGGGTAAGGGAGCGCCTTGCTTCGATGTAGGGAGATGAGGCTCAGAGCCCAGGCTCAGGCTGCGCCCGATTCAAGTTCCTAAGGACCAGCACCCACCCACCCAGCCGCCCGAACTCGCGGGTCCCCAAGGTGACCCGTGGCCCCCCGCCCGAGCCGCGCGCAAGCTGGACAGCCCGCCCCGTAGCACAGCCCCGCCCCGCCCGTTGCCGCTCACCGTGGGCCGCGACACAGGCGGGGAGCCAGAGCACGAGACACCACCAGCCCGCGGCGCCGACGACCATCTCCAGGGCCCGGCCGGGCGCCGCGCGTTGCTCGCCGGACTTCAGCCTGACAGCTGCCCCGGCCTCCCACCCCCAGGCCCGCTCCTGCCGCTGGTTGGCGAATGGGAACGAGGCCCACGGCTGATTGGCTCAGACGCCTGCTCTTCTAGCCACACTTTCTACCTCTGCGCCTTACCCCACTTCCTACTGGTCGAGAGAAGTGGGGCCGAGGGCTGATTGGTCTAAACTCTTAACAGCAACTGCGGCCCCCACTCGGCCCCGCCCCAGCATTCCTCAGTTTGGATTGGACTCTGCGCGACCGCCGGGAATGGGGGGTGGGCTGGCAGGGGATGACCAGGAACGAGGTGGGCACCTGGCAGCACTCGCTTCAGCCGCCGAAAGTCCTGATCATCAGCTCTTGCGGTCTCGGCGGGATTCTCCCCGCGGCCGCCTCACGGCGTGATTTGCCTTCTCCCAGTTCGCTTTCCTCCTCCCCGACCCCCTCTTCGGAAAGATATTTATCTACCGCCCAGGTGATCGCTGGCGCCCCGCCAGCTCGCCCCCTGCCCAGTCCCACCAGTGCTTGCGCGGCCCTAGTGGAAGCGCGAAGGACGCGGCAGGTGCAGCCCACCCTCGAGGAGGCTCTGGCCAGTGCAGAGCCGGAAAGCGGACACTGGGACCCGGTGCCCACGACAGCTTCTCTACCACTTTCTGTGCAATTGTGGCTTTGGCTATCTTTCCTAAGCTCCCAGACTCAGCGTCCTCGTCTGTAAAATGTACGTGGTAACAATACCAACGCAACAAGGTTGTGAGCATTAAATGAAAAAACTCATGTTAAGAGCTTACTTAGCATAAGCTTGCCCCACAGTCAGCGTTCAATAAATGTTTGCATTTATTTCATTCCTTGGTCTGGCGTCCAGGGCGAGGAGATAAGATGGAATTAAGGATAGTAGGTGTCGCGGGCCAAGCAAGGATCTTTCATGCTCAGGGGGGGAAAAAAGGGCACCACCAAAATTTGGCGAATCTTCCATAACCAAAGTTTCTTGCCAGAGCGCCCTCCGAGGCTCCGCCTCTAGCCCTTCTAGCCACACCGGCTCTCTGGTAGCGAACCATAGAGTAACGGAAGTGACCCGTCCCCTTCCTCTACCGGTTTAACGCTGGTCGAACCTTCTGGGGACTTATCTGGCGCAGGGCATTGTGGGGTTGCTGGGCGGCCCGGAGGCAGAGCTAAGGAGAGGAGTAGCGGGCCACAGAGGACGCTTCCAAAATGATGGTAAGTGGTGTCTCCCGTATCCTTCGCCATCCGCCGTCTTCAGCCGCCATCTGGCCCATGGCTGGCGCCGCCTGGCTGGCACCCGACCCGAAGGGCTCTCCTCTGCCTGCTGATCCTGCCCTCCCCCCGCCCCATCTCCTGTCTAGGGGCGACCCCGGCCCGCCGCGGCCTGGCTGGGCCCACGCACGGAGCCAGGGCCCTTGGCGAGTATTGAGGGGAGGCTGTGGTCGACCGGGTGGGGACTACAAGTCCCAGGGTGCTTCAGGGCAGCGGACCCGCGTCGGGAACCTGGCTTTTGGAGCCCCCCACAGTCGGGACCTGTGTTAAACTATTACGGGTTGAACATACATAAGCAGTCGGTGGCCAGATCTGGAAGCCCCGGCTGCCTTAGGAAATGCGGGTGTGAAGAAGGTGTGCTTCCTAGAATGGGCAGAGCGCACGGTCTCGACGATGGTCTCATTGTACCCCACACGCCTGTTGGTGCATAAATGGCAGCCGACCTCTGCTCGTACATTCACTCGTTCGCTCATTAAACACATGTTTAGTGCCTAGTGAATGTGCCCCGCTGGTTGTTGGGGTGCACATTTCTCAGCCAGGAGAATGGGCAGGGCAGATGGCGATGCTGCATCAGAGGTAGGAAGATTCCGCTCTATCTCCGACCCTGGCTGCGCCTCTGGATTTGACATTAGACCAGAGTTGGCCACCTAACGAGGGGCCGCTTTTCCTAGATGCAGGGCGTTGGTAAGTCCTGGGCTCCACACAGGGCATCCCCTTCCCTTCATAGTTGCAGGTACTTTTCACCGGCCCTAACCCTCGGAGACACCTCTTGAATCGCTGTTGAACAGGGCCAGCTTTCAAGGCGGTGTTTTTCTTTGGTTTATATGTGTGGATTTTCTTTGGGGTTTTTTTAATTTTGTTTTTCAATTATAGTTTACATTCAATATTATTTTGTACTCGTTTCAGGTGTACAGCCTAGGGGTTTGACAATCATACACTTTACGAAGTGTTCCTGGTAGTTCCGTTACCCACCTCACACCGAGGAGGTGTTTGAGGCAAAGCCATGACTGAGAGGCCGCTTTCTATGCCCTTGGCAGTTCACTCGTTTTGGCCTCCCCCTCGGAGTCAGTTCTTGTTTTTTTCCCGTGTTCCTGCACCTTCTCCCCGTCCTGTTAGATGTCAAACTGACACCTAGGAGGTGTTCATTCTGCTACCAAATGCCCTATGAATCCAAGCTAGAAGGAACCTGGTATCATCCGTTCCCCTCTCCCCGTCATGCCTCCAGTACTGCCCCTTTTCAGTCCCTCTTCAGCATCACCTATTCCTGAAGGCGTCTGCATCTTCTATGCAGGGCAGCGCAGGAGGGCAGTGGAGAGTAAGGGCTCCCGCCATGCTGAAGGCCTAGGCTTGTAACTCAGCTCTGCCACTTGCTAGCTGTGTGACTTTGATTTTGAGCATGTTATTAAATTTCTGGCCCTCAGCCTGTTAGAGGGGGTTAAGTTAACCCATACAAAGTGTCCAGCATGTAGTAAGCACTCAGCAAGTGTTAGCTATTCTGCTCGGTGGTTGCTTGCTTGCTTCTCCCTGTAACCCATCTTCCTGCCAAGGCAACCATGAGTTGGATCAAAACCAAGTTTTGTCTAGTGGTAAAAACCTACAACAAAGGGCTCCAGACCACCACAGTGGATTTTTCTGTTTCCCTCCTATATTGGCTGCTTATGTGAATGGGAAACTTCCGTCACCAAAAATCCTCCTTGCTGTCATCGAATTAGTCCTTGATATTCTAGAAGCCTTCTCTGCTAAGAAGGGAGGTGAAAGGACCCCTGAAACCTTGGTATATCTTGGATAGAAAGTATTATCCTTGTCTTTGGTGTTGACCACTGTAAGCTTTGGAATATAAAGGCCTGTTGTGGTTTTGTAGAACATCATGCTTAATAATTTTTGAGAAGGATGAACAGGAAGATCATTAAGCTGAAATTACCATTCCTTCCATGATACCCTTGGCAGATCACTGGATTCTGCAATTATTTCTCTACTTGAATAAAAATGAGTGAGATTAAAAAGTAACTTGGGGACAGCCCTGGCCAGGTGGCTCAATTAATTGGAGTTTTGTCCTATACACCAAAAGGTTATGGGTTGGATCCCCAA